TGATGTAGTGCAATGTGCCTGTCAGGGTGGAACCAGGGTCCAACGGTCCAGCGACAACACAACCAAAAAACAACAACCAACAAGAGTTGCCGACGACACAGCCCTACGGAGTGTCCGATTCTCCCTTTCGCTTTAAGTGGGTTTGCGGCCCACAGTAGCTCAAGTCCCTGACAGGGGGGGCAAAAGGAAGAGGCCCGCCCCGGGACGAATGGTGGTAGAGTCTTGTACAGGCAGTTGCTCGGCGAGTTCGGGGCGGTAATTAGGAAGCCGGGCCCGATGGGTCGTAAATCCAATGCTCGCCAAGCGCCTGTTACACCTTATACCCTTGATAAGGTCTTCGACGGGGGCGTCGCCACGCAGCCCGTCGGGAATTAGCAAACACGTAGCAGCGCTACACCTCCGTACTGCCCGATGGCAAAGTACCGACACCGGAACGGTCGCAACCTGTATCCGATGGAACCAACACTGTCCTGTATACACAACAGGACCTTCGAGGGAAACGTCGTTGCAACAGCCTCCGTCGGTGGTCGTAAACAAGTAGCAGCGCTACACCCACGTGTCGCCCGATGGCAAAGACACCTACACCGGTCGGGTCGCAACCAAAGCCGATGGCACCAACACAAGATAGGAGAATAGAAATAGAGATAGAAATAGAAAGGGATAGGTGAAATAAAGGAAAAGGAAAGGGAACCCCCGAGCGCAAAGGATAACGTGATCTGTGGTAAAAGGGAGCGTCTTGGGAAAGACAGACTTCGACCAAGGCGATATTCAACTCTGGCAACTCGGGTTACCTTTACTGACTTGGTGGTCAGAGGGCTAAGGTATATATCGCCCCGCCGGAGCCTCTACACTAGCTCGCGGCGCTAGATCCTAGATCTAATCTAGTGTCAGCAAAATTAATGCCAACTAATTAACTAAATAAAATAATAAAAAATTAAAACTATGCAATTATTCACACGTGTGTCCCCCCCAACCCGGACTACTTTTCATATCCAAATCCAAATATTTTCCTTCCTTTTCACCCCCCTGTAGAGCCCATTATTGCACTACATTATCCTTTGCTGCAAACATCGAGTGGTGTCGCGGGGGATGGCCCTGGCATGTCCATTTCTCTGCTCTCACGCATTCTGACTGGGAGCCCTCTGGCTGCTGTCCACGCTATGTCTCGAAAAGGAGTTGAACTGTTTGCCTCATCATCCGTTGAAAGAACATATGCAGGTCCATGAAGACGCTATCGGTTTCGCTAAACATGTAATACTGTAGCATAAGCGCAGATCAGAATTAGATTTAGAATTAGATCGCGCGCGCGCACACACGTGTACTGTCAGGACTGTCAGGACGCCCGCACACACGTGTACTGTCAGGACTGTCAGGACGCCCGCACACACGTGTATCATCGGCGCGCGCGCACACACGTGTATGGACAGCTCTACAGTAGCTGAGTACGGTAGCTCAGCACTGTAACGCGCTACAGTGCAGTACGGACTGTACTGTAGCCCTGTATGATAGACGCGACAGACGCGTAATTGTATATTAAACCACAGGAACCGACGGCGGCGGAGGGAAGGCAAGCATCGGCTTGGCCAGACCCTCACCGTCGGCTAACCCGGAACGCTTACTCTAACTCGGGGACGCTCTCTCTGTTCGCGTTTTAGAGTAGAAGGACACGGGTAACGGACGCGTACGTGCGCGTGCGAGCTAGAATCCGCCTCCGCCCGTCGGTACTGGAACGTCACCCAGTACCGCGCCGGGGCGTCAAGGCGTCGATCCGCTCTACCGCATACACTAACGCGTTTGCGACCCGACCCGCTGTACCACCGCTACCGGACCGTGTCCTTCCTCACGCGTTGCTTACTGGTGCTTTCTGTTCTTCTCGCGTTCTACAGGGTCTCTTACGCGGACTGAGCATACACCCCTGTCGTTGGGGTGTTTATGCTACAAATACCTCTTACGAGGGGGATATAGAGTTCATCGCATAGCTGCTGCCTATCCGATATACAACGGGGTCAAAAATCTCTTACTTCGCTAGATTTAATATCGTATAGCGCGAAGGTCCGAATGTGCACCACGCCATTCACCCCATTCGCACATTTGTCCGTCACACGTTCCAAAAAATTACCAGTCATTGTGGTGAGGCAGAATTCCCATTTCCTTGAAACAACGACATGAAGATATTAATAAATACAGTAAAGAGGAGCGGTACTTGCGGTATTCTAATCCTGAGCAACAAGAATGCCGTCGAACAAGACGAGAATGTCCGGATTCTCGGGCACGCAGTTGTTCGAAAGACGTCTGACCTACTCACGCGTTTCTAAATTATATTCTGGAACCAAGTTCTTAGAGCACCTTCTGCACCGACACATTTATGTCCCGTGAGCATGAAATATGGTACAACTCGACGCTCAAACCCTTAGCGCGGCGACCTCCCTTTCCACCCCTCTGACCGAGAGCAATATCGGCGCCACCATCTTCGTCCTCGTCACGCTCACGCTATCGACCCCGACCGCTACCCTCCCAGCTTTGTCCCCCGCCTTTGCCCACTTCTTGGTCACATAAGGCCCCACGCGCCCCGCCGTGAGCCTTCGCCCGCTCCCGATGCTGCACGAACCGTCCTGACAGCTCACCTCTCTCCCACACACCGCCCCGCGCACGCCACCCCGCCCCTGTACAAGGGCCTGTGGGTCCTTGTGCGCACGCCCCCGCATACTTCCTACATCAAACCCCCGCTCCCCGTCTCCGGCCCGCTGCATGTCTACCCCCAAGTGACCCACCGCTACCCCGCTCACTTGGCCCGTCACTCCCTCGTGCAGGCCACCATCGAACGTGCCATACACCTCTCTGCCAAGCCAGTCGCGCTGCTCGCGTGCCGCTCAGTGCTCGCGAAATATGTAGAGGCGAGTGGTGGCCTCTCATACGTTTCGAAACAGCAAATGGTTCGCATCGACGCCCAGATATGGCATGTAGGTATTGAGTATCTTATTGATGCCAAACAACCGGGTTCTCAAATTGAAGAGCAAAATGGCGAGATGGAGTATGATCTTCCTCTCGCCTTGCTCCTCATTGAAAAAACGATCTTTCAATCTCGGAAAAGAGCCTTGAAAGGCTCTCATTCCCGACTCCGATGCTTGCCTGACGGATGTCGCTTGCTGCGCCTTCTGATGAACATTTCGGTCACTGCTCATTGGCATATCTTGCGCGAATTTGATAAGAAAAGGGTAGTCTCCCTTACTAAACGCAGAATCTACAACGCACGTCGCACCATGATTTTCAAATGTTTCCTCAAGTTTCCGATATACATTGCCCCATTCGGCAATTACCGAGTCATGGAGACGCCCGTGAGCATTGTACGCTGCCGCGATCACTACGCCGGAAGGCACAAAAACAAGTACGTTTCCGACGTAGTGATCATGTTGCCACCCATTGTAAAGCATGTTCTGAATTACACCGTTCCCGCTCTCTTGTAGATAAAGCTTCTGTCCATCCGCTATGGCGTACAAATCTTGAAGAAGAGAGTACTTTGCGGAAATGGATCCTTTGTAATGCCTAGTCTCTTGCGCTGTGGGCATTGTAATGCGAGTTTTATGATCAGAGTTGAGGACGCGCCTCAACAAACAGCGACCGAATCGTAAAAATATAGAGCAAACAAAAGCAGTTATGCCTAATAGCATTGACAAGACCATACTAGAATCCCTTGTCCTGTACCAGCAAAGTGTGAGAGCTAAGCAGTGGACAGCCGATAGCGACCGACGTCTTCCCCTTCGCGTCCGATGTCGCAGGATGACGCGAATGAATCCGTCAGAGCTGTAGGGTGTGAAGCGGAGATAAAGGGGTTCAAACAGGGGGAGGAGGTATCGAAAAGAAGCGTGATCGAACCCGCAAAATGTGATAAGGGATTCGTCACATCCTGGACCGAACAAAACGGCAAATGGAGATGTAGAGGGGTTGCAATGCACTCCTTGTTATCCGACTGTCTCGTCGTCTTCGACCTTCCGTGTTGAGGCGGTGACGAAAAGTGATGGTGCGTTGCCTTTTTGCGCGTTGCAACAGCAAAAAAGGAGGAGATTCCTCATTTGAGTATCATAGGATAGGGCGTGAAGGGGGTACCGAAATCCGTCCGCCGGCATGCTGACACCTCACTGACGGTGAATTGGCATTAAATGTGTCTTACACAAATTTTTGTGTCACATGCATTTCCGTGCCAAGGCACAAAATACGACACACATACACAAAGGAATTTGTGTGTACACAATTTATGTTTTTCGGAGTCGCCCAGTGTTTCCACTTCTTTTCTTGCACGAAGAAGTGATCGATTTTTGCATGGGGATTCCTGCATGCAAGAATATCATATCTTGTGACCGGCCAATGGGAACAGTTTCTATCATAACTATGTGCAAAAGCAACAATTTTCTTCCCTGTTTAGAACGACCCTCAATCTGCATTATATTCTTGAGCTTTCTGCGTATTCAAAGCAGCTATCCCGGTGTTCTGCAAGATGCTATTGCCGAAAACAAGCATGTTAACCCTGTGCTCGATTTTTGTGACGAATTTTTTTGCCCCCTTTAGGGACATTTTTGTCTTGCTCTTGAACGTTTGCGAGTTAGTTGCTCTATACAAAACCGTTCGAACGGGGTTTCAAAACGGGTTCTGGTGATATAGGTATTGTTCATCAGAGATCCGTGTTTCGGACGTGACGGAGGTTTTCTTTTTTATTTGGACCGCTTTAGACACTGGGGCACAACTCTCACAAAAAGTGTACAAAATCGCGGTAGTAGCTCACCTCTTTTACAGTGAGTGTCCTCGGCGGAAATGACAGTGTTCTACAGTGAAAGCACTGTTGTAGAGACTTTGGACATCTACAACGCAAAGTGAGCTGACTGTTCTTCGATGTCTTTCCAAGTGATACAACTTCACAAAACATGCAAAGCTCTCGTAAATACTTCAATCAGCGCCATACCTGCACTACTACTGGTTGCCACCTCGACGCTTCACGCTGCGAAGACTCTCTCGTAAATACTTTACTCAACGCCATACCTGCACTACTACTAGTTGCCACATCGACGCCTCACGCTGCGAAGACTCTGATCGAACAACCGCTTCTCTGCAGCCGTCGGCCTTGTGCGCTTCAGCGTATCTCGCGAATGCCACTCAGACCAGCATGCAGTGCAGATAGCCTGCTTGCATGTACCACACAACTGGACTTGTCGAGAACCTTTGCGCTTTACCTTCATTTTTCCGTCCTTCATGCCCCTTAGAGACCATGAGCATAATACACAGTATGTAGACGTCCCTGAAACTTTCTTGTGCACAATACGCCTATTAAGCCTACGCGCTTTGTGCGTCCCTATATTATATCTGTCAGCCGCCTTGCGTCTAAACATAGGTTTTATAGACTCACTCTCGATCTCTTCTTCAGTCCCAAACTCATCGTCTTGCTTGGCATGAAAAGTATCGACCCATTCCTTTGCCAATTGCCTCGCAAAAAAGCCAAATGACTCGCATTGCGTCACTTTATGACGGAGAGCAGAGTATCCTCTGGTTGGCAGCGACGAAACCTCTTGAACAGTAGGTAACAATTTTAAAGACTCAGCTTTGTGAAGCCTGTAAGCGACTGCTGCATTATTCACCTGCATCGACAGAAGTCGGGCAATAATGGATACGACAGGGCATTCGCTCATGTTACTCCTAGCCAACGTCTTCACATATCTCGAGATCACATCCACTCCGCCCTTTGGATTATTCCAATAAACTGCTGGAGTTAACCGAATCATTCGCGCAGGGGGGATGGGCTCTCCCCTCGTGATAACTTCGTGTCTAATAGCCTGACTAAGTCCATAGTAGGAAACAAAGCTGTAGAGGTCAGAAGCATGAGTGTTCTGCAGCAGAGCGTCATACTGCTCTGGAACGCGTTCAGATCCTTCCCCGACCCATTTGAACGCTGCTGTGCGCACGCAGTCTAAAGCATATGTATAATTATGTCGCATATGTTCTGCAAAGACGATATGACAAACATAAACAATGCCACCTTTCGTAATAGAACCCCCAGTCCCTACGACGAACAGGACATTGTTCACGCCAAGAGTGGCAGCGTGGTGAAGGACTTGAGCCCTGTACGCAGGCGTGCCAACCAACTCCTTGAAAAGACCAGTGCTTCGGTCGCTGGTTCCAACATTTCGAAGTGACACCACGGGGCCATAGCGTGCACGGAGAGTAGTTGCACTCTCTACGGATCTGACTGAGGTCATCGTTTTCACTTCTACAGCGAAAACATTTAAGTCACCCTCTTTGTTCTCTGCAGCAAGTACAGCATCCGGATTGTCTGCAATCATATCACAACGTAGACTCTCCACCAGACCTGTGCATCGGATATGCTTGACGTCGCACGCAAATTCAGTGTCCCAGATGTAGCTCGAACGGCCCGCTGCACACATGTATGCCCCGCCAGAAGTCTTCATGAATTCAGGGATAGCTTCTACGATCTTATCTTCATTCCTTGTGCCCTCTCGCATGCCGGCAGTTGCGATAAGTGGCTTCATCACCCAGGCGTGTAGTGACGCGTCGCGCAAGGCATGACTCACCTTGGCTGCAGACTGTATTAGCAGTTCCTCAGGGCTTGCATCCTCCCGCTCACTGCCATCTAAGTCCACAGTGTCCGCGGCTACGTCTATCTTTAGCTGTCTAACAGCAGCCACTAGGCTCGACTTTGGAACACGGCCGTCAAGGGCTCTGTCAAAGACTGCCAGAATTTCCTGCAGGTCACTCTTGGTAGAGCTCGTAATTCGCGTTGCGGACATGCCTCTAAGTCTAGCAGCCACTGTCCTGCGTGAAGATGTGACAGGCAAGTCCGCCAGCCGTAGCCCAAAGACGGCAATGATGCTCTCCCATTTCATCTTGATGTGCTCCCGTACCTCCTCGACTTCCTCACTGAGGGCCTCTGTACCCGGAGTCAGAACGCTCCCCTGCAACAACCATGCCAAACCATTGATTCTCGTCCCATAGTCTCGCGCGATTGCTTGAACGAAACCAAAACTAGTGCGTGACGTAAATCTGAAGGCCCGGAGTAAGAACCACACCGGGTCCTCGGATTGCAGGTACGTCAGACACCGCACTTGAGCAAGGACCTGTTGCACTCTACTCTTTGCACTTACGCGGGGGATGGCATGACTACTGGATCGAGTGGGCCTCTGAGTAGACACAGCAGTTTTCCATGGCTCATCGTAGACAATTAATGCTGCCTCAAGTTTCCTCACGGCAGACTCCGCCCGGTAACTATCGCGGCAGACAATTGTGAAGCATCGCGAGGGAAACAGGGCACCGTTATTGTGAACCAACGCCGCGATCCTTCCAGAACAACTCTCGCGGTAGACGCAAGCTTCTACAGCGCGTAGATTAGAAGCCCTGCTCGAACTAGGTCCCTCTTTTAGTCGTGCTGTGTACACAGCGCGACAACCTCGTTCCGAGACAACCATACCTCTATGGCGGCGAGTAATAGGCCCATCTCCGAACACAAAAGGGAACCAAAGGTCCCTTTTGTGTGTTCCCAAAAGGCTTGCTCCGAGGACATCTGAAATGAACTCAATTGTAACTTTTGAGTTGTAACCTCTGTCCGCAGCAAATATTGCCCCTGGCATGGGACGCAGAGAACCCGTCGTAGATACCCCCTGTAAAAGCTGAACTAGTCTTTCCCAAGTGTGGATGAGCTTCTCTCCGCTGCGGGTAAAATGACAAGCGAGGAAGAAGGGGTTTAGAGCCTAACAGAGAGCGTTACCCACAGGCCCCAGTCCCTTTTTCGGGTTGTTGTGTTGGCGAAGATATGTTAGTTCTACGACAGATCTCGACGCCATTCTGAGGTGGTCGTCATCAAGGGAGAGCACAGTAGCTCTCGGAATGTACACTAGGTCTCTGTTAATTGAAGCTGTCTCCGCCTCGATCTCTGTGATCAACGTCGTTGCTCTGTTTGCGCTTCGGCTCCAACCAGTCGGAGAGATGTCTTAAGTACCGCGACGATCTTTTGCACCACTCAAAGCCGCCCAGACTTGATGATAGCGCTCTGCTTCTATCCCCATCTGAAAGAAAAAGTCACCTTGCGACGCATCGCAAATAGTAGAGGGGGACTCGTCATAGGCAGCACACAATACGTGAATAATTATTAGACCTAGCAACTCCTCCTTGGACGTGCCCTTTTGGCGATTTTGGTGAAGCACCCTGTTGGCTCCGTAACTGAGCTTCTCTAGGAGACAGTCAGATACGAAAGACTGGAGGCAGCTAAGTGGAGTGACAACATCCCTCTCTTTTGCAGAGTCATCTCCCAAATCCCCGCGGCCTACAATATCTGCCTTAACCTTTCGAAGCACATCATGTGCTTCTTCTAGAAATCGGTGTTCGAGAGTGTCGTTAACATCGTCGACACGGACTGTGACTTCAGCGAAAGGGCTCTCGTAGTGCCACATGGGCAGCCCTCCGTGGCGCTGTGCATTTTTCTTTGCCTGAAGGTCGTCAAAACTCATTGCAGATCTTAGACAGCGCTCCTCCTCCACATGGACCTCTTCCCATGGCCCAGCAGAGAATCTCTCACCGTTAAAATCATGAAAAATGCGGCTGTGCAAATCTTCCCATAGAGGAGCTCCAGACTCTCCCCCGCTCGCACAGTACGATGTCATGTTTTGAGAGTGACGCAAGCTACGAATCTCTTGATCAGAAATAATCTTCTCGCCATCCGAAAAATCCTCAGAGTCTTCACTTGTATAATGCGAGAATAAAGACAGACAGCTGTTCTGTGAGAATGCTTTGTCTGAGGTGTCCACCGAATCTGAATCCTGACTGTCCGATGAAGGAATATTTCTCAAAATGGACTGGCAATGACCGAGTTGGAAAGGGACAGAGATTCCATCTTCTTCTTCAAAGGCTGACGGAGTTATACTGTCCAGATTGACGGGTGCTGGAGCATTGCAATTTGAATCATTATTGTATAATATATCTGATCTGTTCAGGCGCTGACGACCTGTGCGAGCTGCCGCCGATCTGTCGACCTCTTCGTTGTTTTCTCTGATTAGTTCTGAGGATTCCACAGGGGCTGAGCTGATTCCAAGCACAGGGACACGCAATGTCGAGGGAGCTAATGCATCCTGTTCAACAGCATCTGACTCGCTAAACGCGATTTCACTGTCGGCTTGCAAATCTTGGTCGACGACAGGCACTGCCTGACGGTCTGGGCTGTGCAGATCAAAAGAGATGTTTCGTCTCTGCATATCCCAATACATAGAAACAGCCAGAGCAGCGTCTTGAGAGCAGGAAAGCCGGTTGAAGTGGGAGAACTGTGAGACTACAGACACTTTTCGAGAGGAGGGACACTGCCAAAAGAGAGGTGTATGCAGACAGTGTAGCACTGCCCTATCAACATCACAAAATGTATCCAGAAAAAAAGGAAGATCTCACTGTCAATGGGAGTTCTGTGAAGGTTGAGGGCGCTCATATACGTATGCTCACAATGAGTGTACACACTCTTCAACCAATCACAAACCGATGGAGAGTTCTGAGAGGCGAAAGGACGGTGTTCTATTCGTGGAAGGGCACTGTACCATAAAAAATATACTAGAACGTCACAAACTTTTGTGAATCCCAAAACCGTCACCAACCGGAGCACAGGGTTAAGGAAATAGTGCTCAAGATAGCTTTTTGAATGTTCAATTTATTTGAAATATTTTTGCAAAAAAAGCTGTCCTCATATATTATTTCCTCATACAGTATTATGAGAACAAGCCTCGGTCGGTCGGATAGACACTACTGTAGCCGTGCTGCATGGGCATACACGAGGGAGAATAACTTTACTGTTATTCTCCCTCGTGTATGCCCCTCTGTATGCCAGCGTTCAATGTCATCAAGAGGATTTTATTGGAAGGCGTTCCGCCTCCCATCCAATCATGAGGGTGATATGCAATAAGAACAATGAGAGAACAGGGCCACTTGGCCATTTCGCAGTGGGCACATTATTTAATGCGACGCTGGCTTCGGATCGGAGACGACGGCGGGATTCCCTCGATCGCAGTCTGCTGAACTGATAGCGCAGATGGTGTTCGACTCTGGGGAAAGCAACAAGCCTCACCCTATGCGCACGATCCCATCTGGACCTGTTGTGAGTCAGAACAATATCGTTCTCACCTTTCTGTCCTTCCTCTCTCCCAGACGCCAACGCGGGCAGTCTATTGCACTCTTGCATGTGGCGAGCCTTTGATAAACGCGCCGACCACCCTGGAGCCGTTTTTCGTCTGTCTCTATCCGATCGCGAAACAAGCAATTGGAAACCATTTCGAAAGCTTCAGGGTACTGCGAAAGCGACCTCCCCGTCATTGTTCCGCATTCAATGGGGCCAACATCAGCCCGCTCCGAAGCCTTAGACTCATCCGATGAACCAACGCCCCCAAAACCAGCGGAGTCCTTTTCGTCTCTTCCCTTCGCTGCTAAAACTTACACGGCAGAGGGCTTATTAGATTCACGATCGGGGAGAGATCAAACGGTGCGAAAGGTGATTGTTGGTCGTGGAAAATCATCAAGCACTGAGGCACGCATATCAAACACTTATGCCGGTTCGAATCTCTCTGTCACATCTTCACACTCCAAGAATGGCCCTGGCCCGCATGACAACTCCCAGCCTGCAGCATTCGATAGAAAACTGAAGACGGATGTTGTTGACACCTCATACAAACCCGCCAAAGCCGCTTATTCGCCAGAGGGACGACCTGGACCCACCATGGGCATCTACTCGACGACTGAGAAGAAGACGCCGAGTAGAATGGATCTGCGAAACGAGCCGGATGCCCATGCTGGCCCAGCACCCGGTTCATCGCCATTGCAGCCGAGTTCATCGCACAATGCCGGGAATGCGAGTTTCACAAGTACGCCTCTGAACTTGAAAGCAGATGGGAATGCCAGGATGCGCCCAGATGATTTTTCGGACAATGCGAAAACAGTTTTGTATCGTGCAGTTTTTGTGGTTCCTTCGAACCATCCTACAAGCGCAAGGCGGATACGAGTGGCATCAAAAATGCTGCGACATCAATTAGATACATTGTGTAGGTTGACTCCGTCTACATGGGCAGAGCCATTCCGGATATGCACAGGCTCTCTCGTTTCCAACGTTGCAGTAGTAAGCGGTATGTCTTTCAGGCCTATTACGGTCCAACCTTTTCCAGTTAGGACACAGCATTCATCCGAAATTCGTTTCAAGATCGACATGGCGAGCAACCGCCGACTGCGAGTGTTCCGTTTACACCAGGCCCTATTTTGTACTGGATTCCCGTCGAGGGAGAGCGAGGCCAAGAACAAAGCTTCGATGCTCTTATTTTCCTCTGACAACATTTCGACGCACGTGAAAACGACAACTGAAGATGCAACAGCAAGGCCCACAGAGGAAGAACGAAAAGCGGCGGCGAAACCCTCAATGCCGGGAGATGTCTCTGGCAGTATTGGTCGGGTCATTCCCCGTCAAAAACCCGAAGCCTTGCCTCGGATTTCGCAATCGTCTGCACATAAAATCCGTCGGACCGAACCCAAGCTTTGTAGCTCTGAAGTTTACGCTACCAGTCTGAAAGGGCAGGTCGTGACGGTTTCACCTGCTACAGGCAAGGGCAAGGAGAATGTCGTAGGCCACCTAAGCAAGTCTCGTCCGGCATCTACCACCAATCTTTTCAATGTTAAACACCAGAGGGCAAGCACGATTGCTCAGAGAGATCGTCCCGATGTGTCTTCAACACCGGGAAACATGACTACCACGAAAGGGACGATTCCAGTGCCGGCGAAAGCAATCGTAAATGGACCACGGCCGCGGCGCCCGGCGGACTCATCGCAACTCACACGGCTCGACCGTTCACGAGAAAAATCACTACCGGCTCTTGTGCCCAAAGCTGCTTCGAGGAACCGAAGCGTTCAGCAGTGCCGTCCTCGCGGCCAATTCCCCGTTACAAGGCGGGCAGGTTCAAAGCGTGTCCTTCCTCAGTGCTGCATTGATGCACAGCTTCGAGCTGCAAAAATCGCTCGCGTTTCTAGCGAAGCGAGAGCGCGTCGTACAGTAGCGGCATCACAGCGTCTCAAAACAGTGGACGCTCGGGGGAAGTATCAACAAAAGGAAAGGGCAGTATCTAATCAGACGAAGGAAAGGAAGTGCGTTCCGCTATCCTCGAAGGCAACTTCGCAGATCGCAGTATCGAAATCCAGCAGCAGTTTGCGGAATTCTCCGGCTCCGAAGCAACCCGCCACGAAAGAACGGAGTTTGGTGGCAAGTCCACACCGACCGGACGTTCCCAAGCTGCTAGGCCCAAAGTGGGATTCTCGTGCAAAGGGTTCGGGAAGTCATTCACCTGGGGCTAGCTCTGCATTACCAGAAAAGGCGCAAGATGGTACTACGGGCAAGTTGTCTCGGACTTCGTCTAAGACACCCCGCGTTGACGGTGTTCGGAAAGCTCAAGCACAGACCAAGACACAGGTTCCAACTAGAGCGTCAACCTCACCGCAGCCTCGGATTAGTCCCAGAGAATCATTTATTGGAAGACACTCTGGCACAGGAGCTGCGCAAGCTGGAAAGCGCACGTTTGTGAATAAAGAGACGCAGCCGAGAGCACAAAGCCTTCGCCAGAACTTGATGTCCCGTTCACATGAAGCTCTTTCCACCAAAGCACAGGCCGGAGCGTCTGCATCCGAGAATCATAGCACCACCTCGCCTGACGTGAAGAGGATGGTTGGTATTGCGACCCAAAAGAGCGGAACGTCATCGGGAAAGCAGCAATCGCGTGGGCACATCACAAGTATCTCGTCTGGCCTGCCATGTCGGAGCTTGAAGCAAGAGCCCCATGCGGTTGGCATTGGGACAAACGCCTCATCAAAAGTTGATCGCTCCTCGTCCACGACAGCTAATGCGACAAGGCGTGCGGGACATGTTGTGGTGAGAAACGAACCGACGCACACCGATAGTGCCAAAAGTTCTGTCAATTCCAAGTCGGCATGTTTGCAATTGCTCACCACAAGCGGTTCTAGCGCGAATGGCAAAGTCAGCCAGGAGATTTTGCGACGAGGAAGTGTCGATTTGCACGGTAAATCGCAAAACGATCGAAACGGTGATATTAGGGAGAAGAGAAAAAGCTCCGCAGGCACTTCTGCGAAGCCGAAACTTTTGCCCTTGGAAGGAAAGGCAACCGCTGTATCGCCTTTGCCTAGTTCAGTCAAGGAATTGTCCAGCGGACGAAGAGTAGCTCTCCCGTCTCCGAGCATGACTGTGAGTGGGAAGAACAAACCAGGTGCTAGTTCGTCAGTTTATGCCCAGAGGGCGGCAAGACCAACGCCATATTCTTGCCCGACATGCGCGGCTTGCGCACACATGCGGACAAATCTATCTCGCCCAATTGCCCGACGAGTCCGCGTAGACAGTACCCAAAAGGGTGTGTCCACCAAAGCCAAAGCCGATAACAACGTTGCTTTACGAGGTGTTCAAAGAACACCGGCTGTACCTATTGGCGCTCTTGCGGCTGCTGCGCGTGCAGCTGCTGCAGTTGAGCCGACACCTCCGCTACAACCTCGAAGTACGCCTGGCTCTTCGAAGCAGTCATGCGACGAACGAGCATTGGGAAGTACTTCCGCTGCTATAAAACCTAAGCCGTTCCCTACAGCAATCGGCGCCCCTGTCACGAAGAAATTACCGCCCTCTTTACCTGTCGTTGCGAAAGCGGTGCCGGTGTCCTCCGCAGCACCCAGCAAGTCCGTGACGGGGGAAATTCGCCCTGCTACCTCCGACGGTGGTTCTAAGCGACCCTCACCGGAAAAACTTGTACAAAAGCCTCCATCCGCCCGTCAGCTTGCTCCTTCCGTGAAGGAAGGAACCCCCAGCTCAGCACTGACGTTCCCGGATGACACTCACGTTACTATGTGGAACCGAGTGGAACAGAGAAAAATTGCTGGAAACGCGGCACCGCTCGGGAAGAATCTAGACCGTTATTTACAAGGGCACCCTGAGTGTGAGATATACGACAGACAAGATCAAGATTTAATGCGAACGCCTCTGAAAAGAGGGGATCGCAAGAAGAGGAGGGTCAATCCAGACGAGCTAGGGGCGGGTGTCCACGTTGCAATATGGAATCGGACCACGAATAGGAAAGTGGCTGGCAACGCTGCGCCATTGAACAAGAATTTGAAGGCATATCTCGCGAAGCGGCCATATTGTGAGGTATACAACGGGCAAGACGACGAGCCAGAAAAAGCATCTGTGGCGAAAGGAGAAAAGAAGCAAGGAAGGGGAGAGGTCAAACGTGAACCAGAGCTCGAACACCCGGCCCTCTCTAGTGTGATTGCAGGATCAGTAATTGTGCAGTCGCCGGCAGAGGCAGGGTTAGACTCGTGGAGAAATCTGTCTGCAGAGTACGAAGCGCTGGGGCATTCTTACAAAACTGATTTTGACGAAGCAGATGAGTGGATACGTTGGGGCGGATGCGAGGATGATGATGTCAGTCCTATGATTGTGGAGAGCTATGTTGGCGACGACATGTCGGGAACGATCGTTGATGTACAAGATGTTACACCGCTGGAACTTGTCGGTTCAGATGATGCGTTTAGGTATTTTGACGCAAACATGTTTTCCTCCGACAATTTCGAGCACTCCTTGGAGGTCGAGTCCCAGGCGCTAAGTATAGGGAATAGAGCTGAAAAGCAGGTTTAGCACCGTCGCTTTGTGCGAAAGTCCACTGATTGTAAGGGCACCACTGGCGCAGGGGCTGCGAGAGACAACTATCTTTTAGCACCAGGCCATGTAATCTAACCATAACTTGTGATGTGCCGGTGCAACATCCATGAATTGATGAGAAACTGATGAAGAACCCATGCTGGATAGTAAAGAGTAAAGACTGATATGTAGACCCATCTATTGTTGTGCGCCACATCTTCCACTTTTAGACAAAAGTGATTTTTTTTGGGGGGATGCTCGGAAGCGACAGACGAAGTCAGATGATGAAACTGGCCATCCTCCAAGCTGGCCACCCTCCAAGCTGCTTGTCATTCCAAACTGATGTTAGAAACAGAACAACTAGATTCGAAGGAAATGTAGCAGAGCCTCAGAATGTGAGAAAATGAAACAACGCTGCTTAAATCTGGGTGGTGTTGAAGCCCTTACTCCAAACTGTGTCTCGGCGCACAGCACCATTACACTCTATTAGTGTAATAGGTGCTTTGCATCGAAACGAAGTTAACTAGACTCTTGCGTATCATCGAACATGTTAGTTTATGCTAAGATGCATATTGGCACATGAACAGGAGTCCTCGCTCTGCCGTCTTGAAAGTAATCTATTTTTTCTGGAGAAAGTGCATTACTCTTTTTAGTGAATCAGATTCATTCATTCTTTCATACATGCACATACTATTCGTTTGCATGTTGAACTTATTGAAGAATAGATGGAGAAGCTTTTTTTTGGTTCAGACCAGGGATTTCAAGACGTCACACTTCACAAGGGAGCACGTGAACAAAATAGAACTAAGACATTTTTCAAAACCACGAAGAAACATATGTTGGCGCTGGTGCTCAGGCCTTCTCTTTCCTTGGAGCAAACCTGGGCTCTGAAATCGGTGTGTTGCTCACGGCTTCGAGAATACTGTCACCGTGTCATCACTCACATGCGTACGGACACTCTTCATCATTCAGGCATGTCTGGTTCTTGTTTTTCCTCGACACAAACATGTATCCCGATGTCAAACTGCTGTAAGTTTTTGGCAAGAATGGGATATCACCCCAGACATGATATGCGTGCGGTATTTGGCCTTGCGGACACATTCCTTCGCGATAAGGTGACGTGGAAAAGGACTCAAGTGCAAACGCGTACTGAGAAGCTTGCCAGGCAGCAGAGCGATCGAACAAACAGTGGCTTCTTACCGGAATGTGGAGATTCAGTATGGGGGATGCGCGGCACTGAGTACAACGGTTCTCTGTCCTACGTCGTGCACTCGAAGGCGTTCCTGGTGGTGAGGGAAAGGTGTGCAAATTGTTGCCGAACTGGTTTATAAAGCAAGGGGGAGTGCGTGGAACTCTAGTGGCCATATCCAATTTTTCTTGAGACAGGGCTAGAGCTAACCGTCAAGACAATCCTGAGAGCAGAGCTCATACAAAGTGCGCTGAGAACCCAACTTCGAACCCATGATCCTAATTGCTTTGGTACATTACGACGCAGAAAAGGGGGAAACAGTTGTGTACCGGACGACGTCATGGGTAAAAAGGTGAAACGCAACCACTGTACTACACCGTAGACGCAAGAAAGCATGATATTGCAGTGCGGTTTGAAATTCAGGGACGTGTCATGAGAGCAATTATTCTTTAAGAGAAGCACTTTGAATGACTTGGTCCTTGCTAAGAGCGTTGATGATACCGTGTCTGTGTCATTATAGGGAATTGACCGACGTCGACATGTAAGGGGTGTTGCGGGAGGGGAGGGGCGCAGGAAGTTACCGTTAACTCTCATGCCTTTCAGGACTTAAAAAAAAGGTGCAACAGGGGTTGGGCCTTTGTTATGCCAAAAGAGGAGGTGCACGCTTTCAACAGCATTGTTGCCGCCGTTGTGAGTGTGAACCAAGAGATCCGGATGCCGGGGTCCCCCTGACCGCGGGGGGGCCGCCGGCGCCGGTATATTTACTGACTCTATGTCCTATCGTACGTCTATAAATAAGGCTGTGCCTTATTTGCATGTTTGTGTGGAATCGCTGTGTTTTTCGTAGCGGGGCGGGAGAGCAATGCGCGCGTCTTTCCCTCTTTTTGTGTGGAATCACAGTCCCCCTGGCGCGCGTATTGCTTAGTTTCGGGGTGGAAAGTGACTGCCTCGGTGGGTGGGGGGGTGACGTTGAGTCGCGTGCGGTGTCTTGTGAATGTGTCTTTCTTGAGCGGTTTGGTCATCAGGTCCGCTGGCATGTCGTGTGTTGGTACTCGATGTATTGAGATGGCACCATTTTTTGTTGTGTCTTGGAGGTAATGGTATTTGATGTCTATGCACTTCCTTCTCTTTGTGGGCGCTTGTTGGTTTGCCATGCGAGCGGCGGCGGCGTTGTCAATGTGCATGGCCGCCGTTGGCGTGGGGATGCCTATTTCCGACATCATGTTGCGGATCCATATGGTGTGGGTTGCCGCCTCGGCTGCCGCCATGTACTCGGCTTCACATGTACTTTTAGCTACAATGGGCTGTTGTTTGGCCTGCCAGTGTATGGTCGCATTGTGGAGGGTAACAGCCATGCCGGAGAACGATTTTCGCGTGGTCGTGTCATTGGCAAAGTCGGCGTCTGTGAAGCTCGTGATGGTGGGCTGTTGTTTCCGTGATTTGGGGAAAAGTATGCCGTGGCTGCGTGTGCTGTGTAAATATTGCGCTAGCCTTTTTAGCAGTCTCCAGTGTCTCTTGGTGGGGCGTTGTAGTGCACGCGCCAATGCCGCTGTTGCAAATGCAATGTCTGGTCTGGTACTGTCCGCTATGTACCGTATCTCTCCTAGCGCTGTGCGGTATGTGTCTTGTATGGCTGGGTACTGTTCATCTGTGTCTTTCGGTGGATCTACACTGATGCCGTGGAGGTATGGTGTGTCAACCGGGTTGCTGTCGTTCATGCGCAAGTATGCGGTGACGTGCTGTATGTGCTGTGGTTGCGAGACATGGATCCCGTGCTGTGTGTATGTTATGTGCCAGTTGAGGTATGCTTTGGGTTTGCCCAGCCTCTTGATTTGATATTTCTGGCGCAATGTGTTGTACAGCTCGTCATTGAGTTTGGGGGTCGTGGCGGCTGCTAGGAAGTCATCCATGCTGACTGCTATAATGATCAGGTTGTTGTGTGCCTGTTTGGTGAACAGTGATGGATCTGATTTGAGTTGACGGTATCCGTTGTTTCGGAGGTGTTCGTGGAGTCGTGTGCTGTAGGTATACGCCGCTGGTGGGGTGCCGTATATGTTTCCTTTGAGTTGACCGTTTGTGGTTTTGTGTGTGAACGTTCCGTCAAATTTTGGGGGTTGCCATACGTACACCGGCTTTTCGTGTTCGTATTGTTCATGCAAGTATGCTCCTTTTATATCGAGATGTTCAAGGTGCATGTCGTTCGCTGCCGCCATGGCGAGTATTGCTCTGACTGTCGTTTTGTCTGCCATGAACGTCGCTGTCTTGTCCGGGTCATAGTGCGTGTGGGGTGTCATGAGGTCTCCGCGCACTGAGCATCGAGCTTTTCTTGTTATTGTTTTCATGTCCGGCTCGATCTTGTACCTGTACGTCATGGTCATCGGTATGATGTCACGTTTCGGTATGTTGGTTGCTGTTTTGTGCCATGCGATTGCCTTCATGTCGTCCAGCTGCTGTAATTCGTGGTTGTGCGCCGTTTCCCATTCTTTTGCGTCAGGATATTTGCGTGCTTGTGCAAGTGATCTGGGCGCTGGGGTTGTGGTTGTGACTGCCGTTGGTGTGGTGGTCTTGCGGCGTTTCGCCGTGAATGCGGCAGGTGTGGTTGTGCATGGGTCTGTGTTGCGGAAGTACGGTTTAAAGTCGTTGCTGCGCACTTTTTGTTGTCGGCTGGTGTGCATGTTGTAGACTTGGATGTGTGTGTCGTCGATACCGTGGAGGTATCGTGCTGGGTGTGCTCTGAGCTGAAGTTTGGTTTTGTGCGGTTTCAGTATAGGTATGTATCCTAGTTGGCCAAATATGAATATGTACTTCACTCGCGGCGGGGTGCCATGCCATAGGGTGTGCGGTAGGTTCTTGACGGTGTGGTGGTATGTTATGTTGTATTTGTATACAGCGTCGGTGACTGCTTCTTGCCAGTAGGCTTGCTGCATGTGGCTGTGCGCCAACGCAGCTCGTGCACTGTTCATGATGGTCCTATTGATGCGTTCTGCCAAGGAGTTTTCTTGCGGTGTATAGGCTGTGGTCGGTCGAAAGGTGATCCCTCTGTTGGTGAGGTACTGCTGTACGTATGTGGCTGTGTATTCCTTCGCGTTGTCCGTGGTGAGTAGTTTGGGATAGTATCCTAGCTGGTTGGATACGTATTGGATGGCGTTGGTGATGCTGTGCGGTACTTGTGACCTGTTGTTGAGGAAGACTACCCAGGCGTATCTCGTAGCTGTGTCTACAAGTGTCATGAAGTAGTAGTTATTTTGTCTGGATGTGGGCTTGATGGGGCCGCAGACATCCGACGATAGTTGTGTGCCTACTTCCTGTGTGTGGGTGGTGCGGGGGTGCGTGGTTTGCGTTGTTTTGCCATCGATACATCCTGTGCAGGTTAGCTTGTGTGGCGTCGTGTGCAGGGATGCGGGGAGGGGTGGTAACAGTTTGTGTTTCGCCATTATACTGATGGTTTTTGGGTGAATGTGGCCGAGTCGCAGATGCCAGTCCTGCATTATGTCCTTGACGGTGCTTCTTTTTGGTTGGTGATGGGGGGATTGCGCGGTGTTGCGCAGTTGCGGTGTGGCGCGCGTGTGGGGGGCTATGTGGGGTGTGACCGGTGCGGTGGTGCTTTTCTTGTTTTGTTTGTGTTGTGTATGGGTGCTGGTGTGTTTCGGTGCTTTACGTGTTTTATGTGATTTGCCTACAGTGCGTGCTGCTTGTGCTTGAGCTCGCTCAGGTTTGTCCATCACGTACTGTCCTTTGCGGTATGTGGCCGTGAGGACTGGTTTTCTTATGCGTTGGGGTGCGTGCACTATTGCGCGGTGGGGTGTGAATGTGACATGCCCGTAGCGGGTGAGGTCGTGTACACTTAGGAGGTTTTGCTGTATGTTGGGGGAGTGTACCGCCGGGAGAGTGATGGTCTTATTGCTCTGTTTGATTTTGATGGGTCCCGTGTGTGTTATGGGGTGATGTTTGCCGTTGGCAGTTTTTGTTAGTGTACCGGTTGTTTTGCGCATCGTACCATGGGGTTTGGATACGTGCGTAGGATTGGCACCAGAGTCGAGAATGTATGGAAGCTTACCGGTGGTATCGTCGTCGGAGTGCTGGGTAATTGCTTCTTCGAGTTGCGCTATCCTCATTTGCAGTTCATCGATGGCTTGGTCGTGTGCTTCTGTTTGTTGGGGGCTTGGGGATCGCGGTGGGGTGTTGTTTTGGATTGTGTTGGCGTGATACGGGGCTTTTCTTTGCCATTTGTGTGCATAGCATTCCGTGGTGTTGTGCGTTACACTACCATGGTGGGTGCACCATGCTCCGCTCCATCCTGGAGGTTTGGGGTACGTTTTGTTGTCCGGGCGGGCTGATCGGTTGATTTTGCGTGGGGTGTATGTGTTGCGGGGAGTGGCGGTGCGTTGTTGTTCTGCTTTGGTTGTGCGTGGCGTTTGTGTTGCGGGAGCCATTCTTTGTTGCATGATCAGAACCTGCTGGATGTGGTTGTGGAATGCTCTTATGGTGGTTGGGGGGTGGCCGGTCAGTAGGAGGGCGAGAGTGCTGAGGTCTGGGTGCTGTGTAAGTCCCTGAATCATGTAGTTGATTGTGGTTCTCTCGTGATTGATGTTGGGGTAGTTTGCGATTATCATTTTGTGCCGGATGCTCTGGTGTTTGGCTAGATACTCACTGAATTCCTGTCCGGGGAGGAATTTGAGGCTGCGGGCCTCGGCGTCCAGTACTTCATGATTCTCGATGTTGGTTTCGTGGACGTGTGTATTGATCATTTCGCATATGGCGTGTGGTTCTTCCCTGAGGATGGTGGGGGGTAGCTGCGGTATGAGATCGTTGTGTATGCTTTGCATGATGATCGTCCTGAGCGCATCGGCTTTGTCCTGATTCTGTTTGCTGATCGCAGGGTCTTGGGTGGGTGTCGGTGCTGCTTCTAGGAGCGGTTCTGCCTCTATGGTACGCGCGTATATGTGTAGGGCGTCGTGCCAGAATGTGTAGTTCGATTTTGTCAGGGCGGGTAGCGTGGGTTGTTGTGTTGATGAGGTCATAGTGTTGTGTTTTTGCGGTTGTGTGTCGTGATTTTCTGCCTCTGCTATCCGTGCTGATTCGTAGAGTTCGTGCGTGAGTTGCTCTTGCTCTCGGGCGCGGTTACGTCGGGTCGCCCTTTGATCGCGGTCTCTCGGTTTTGCCGTGGTGGCTGGTCGTGGTCGGTCTGGTGGTGAAGTTCAGTGGTCGTAGGTGCCCATAACCTGTGAACCAAGAGATCCGGATGCCGGGGTCCCCCTGACCGCGGGGGGGCCGCCGGCGCCGGTATATTTACTGACTCTATGTCCTATCGTACGTCTATAAATAAGGCTGTGCCTTATTTGCATGTTTGTGTGGAATCACAGTGAGGGGGGCAGGATTGGGTCCATTCGTATCGGGCGATCTGGGTTTACTGATCGTTCGCCGTTGCCTGGATCGCGCTACAGCAACTCGAATTGCTGTCGGCAGCACCGGCGAGGGTAACATTACCGTAGAGAACATCCACGTTGTTAGTTTGTTTTAACATTGTTAAAACACCGGCAACTGGCCTTACGTGCTTCATACAGTAGAGATAGGATTGTTCGCAATCCTATCTCTACTGTGAGAGGAAAAGGGACTCTTGCAGAAGGGTATGAAACGCGGAGGCTATGGATGCAACGGATTGGCTAGTGAGGAATGTGACAGCGATGTAGGCATGGTTGGACAGAAATTGAGATTGCCTCAAGAGAAATGTGATGCGGTGTGAAAAAGGCGCTTCAAGGCTCTCGCTCTCCTGTGAATGGACGTTTAATGGACAGTATTAAAATATCGAAATTCC